AAAATAACATTTTGTTGCCTTCCTATCGTACATCTAAAACTGGCCTCATTTTATCATTCAATGAAAAGCTAAGCAATGTGTACATTTGGGTCTCTATACAATACCTCACAGCCAGCCACTGTTGATCAATCATAAGATTAACTTTGTCGATACGAATGTTGTTGGCATAGTGTAGTCTCTTTGGAAGGTCTTTGCTCAAGTAAGCTTTAAAGTGTTGTTTTGGCTTTTGGCACTGAAAATGTCAAAGTGAAATGATAAGTTTTGCAGCATCAGAGAATTAAAAAATAAAATATGAAAAAAACTCATGTTTTCAATGCAAATATCGCTAGGTTGTCCATCTTACTTTCCTTGCAAAAGGACCTTTTGTAAATTCTCCAAAAGAATCTCTATAAACAAGAATCGGATTGATAAAGGAATGCTAGATTACTTTTTATTATGTGTTACAGTGAAACCAATAGGTGGATGAAATGCTCCACAAGCTCAGTTAATTAATTCAATAGGGCTCTCTCTGTGTGTTGTGTGTGTGTTGTGTGTGTGTGTGTATATCTGCCAATCTATCAGTAGTCCTCAAATTAGAACCATAACGGAATCTGCTCATTAAGGACATAATTAGTGACAGTTGTAACATGGATTATAAAACATGACTGACCCAATTTTACAGCGTTTTTTGTGATGGTTGTTAAGTGAATTATTATGTTTGAGACATTGCAAATAGCAAATACATAGAGACCGATTACCAAGTGCCTGAAGAGTAGTCATGTGACCATGGTGTGCTCAGTCATCAGAACTTCAAATATGGCTTCTAAATATCTTCCAGATACAGTAGGTCTACTGTAATTTTGAATGGTTGTTAAGTGACTGGTTGTAAATTGAAGACTACATCTAACTAGCTAGCTCACAAACTCAGGGAAACAGATTAAGAATATGTAAATTTCAATCTGTTTCAGAAGGTATGGATTCATTGATCATTCAAAACTTCTCCATCCTCTAAAAATCACAGTAACAGACCTTAAGGGTTGGGTTTTTTTTCTATTGTAGATTGAATTTAGCAATTTTAACTTTGCATCTATCATAATTTTGTGAAACAATAGTATGAACAGTAAGGAAAATAGTGTAATTCACTTTATCTTCTATAAGATGGTTGCCTTTTAAAATGAAAGTAAGATATATTCACATTCAAATGTTAGACATCACTGGTCAAAATATGTTTCAGTTAAACCACAAATGAACAGAACATGACCCGTCAACTATATGACATGGACTTAAATATGGAAAGCTTTCTGAAAATTTAAAACCATACTACATGCATTTTTTTTCAGGGTCAAGACAAGAAAGCAAAGAGCATGATAGATTAAGAAGTCAGAGAAACCTTTCAGTCAGTATGCCATTACCTTTGGTGAAAATGGTATATCTTACATAATGGTATATAAAATGAACAATGACTAACTGGCTGAATTCAATAGCTGTAATATCTAAATTGGCCCTAGTAGTATGACAGCAGAACACAGCCAGGTCTATTATGAAGCAATGCAAGATTCAGAATCTTTTATCTAACCTTCATTAGTTCATAAACTTCATCCAGTTCTATGCATCGCCTCTCTCAAAGAAAACATTAACAATATGCTAAAGAAATTACATTTCAGTAGTGATGCCTTCACAGAATGCTTGGACTATTATTTTCTTAGGAAGAAAAAGAATAAAAACATACTCACAGTAAGGTTTTTAACAATTGTGTCAGAAGCAACTGTTTGGAAGAAAAGAAATGTTATGCAGTATGTATAATGTATTTCTTTCAAATGTTAAACTATCAATTTCTCTGCTTCAAATATGGTACATCAAACCGACGGTAGTTGCATTTTTAAGATATTAAACCCTTTAAAATACTTATCCAATGCTATTTGCAGCCATTGGCTTTAGCTTCCATCTGAAAACCACATTTATATTATTCCGTAGTTTGCCACCTAATTTTAGTCATGAAATTTCTGGGGGTTACAGTCATTGAAAAAAAGAGATTCAAGCACCACAAATTCTTTTGGGTAGCAGGTGAAATAGCTCTAAGCAAGGAAGATGCCCTAGAACAGAATGTTCTACAAAGCTTCTCACTTAAATTCTACAGCTTTATGAAGTTGTGGTCCGAACTTACATGAAAAAAAGCCTTTTGGAACATTTTTTGATCGAATACGAGGTGCTGCACCTTCATACATATAAAAATTAACTGGATTAAAATAATCAGCCATGTATTCCAGTCGGTTACAGGATATTGCCTCCATGCCTAAAGAAAGGAGAGGAAAATGATAGGTAATTGAACAAATATAGAATTCCCAAGATTGACAAAGCTCTTTATTAAAAAAAGTGAAGCATAAAGTAATGTTACCATGATCAGCCAGAAGGATCAGATTGACACAATTGTGCAGATTTCTTTGCTTTAGGCCTTCCATCAGCATTCCCAGGATCCGATCTGCCGTTTGTAAAGTCTTAATTATCTATGCCAAAGAGAAAAAGGGTGTGGCAACTTATCATACGTGTTAAATCAAAGTTTGCAATCAGGTATATCACAATAAACAATACAATAATAAATAGAAATCATTTTTGGAATACAGGTTGTATTATTTGTTCCTAATTTTTAATTGGATTACATTTAGAAAAGTAATAAGCATTTGTATGTATTACATTTGTCAGAGTAAAATATGAGTCCATTCCCCCACCACACAGAATATTTAGATAGTTGTTCTACACTGTCCAGTAATCATTTTATTATTTATTTTCTGATAATAAATAGTAAACAATTAAAATGGCAAAAATAAAAATTGAGTTATAGCACATGACTTGCAAATTGACCTATACTTTGCCTGCTTGTATCCTTATTATTTTTCCCCTGTTTCCTGAGATAATGGGAGTGTGCAATGTAGTCAGAGGTGGGTTTCTGCTGATTTGCCCTTGATCGAGGGAACCGATAGTGGCAGTGAAAGGAACCGCCGTCCACCCACTCGAACGCTTCTGTGCATACGCAGAAGTGTTGCACGAGTGTGCGTGCGCACAAGCAAACCGGTAGTTACATAAATTGAAACCACCACTGAATGTAGTGCATCACTTCCTAGAGGCTCAGAGTATGAGATGACTACCTATAAAACCTAAATTAGGAACACAACTGAGCCCAACATTTCTGTTGCTAAGTGAGACAGTTGTTAAGTTAGTTTTGCCCCATTTTATGATCTTTCTTGCCACAGTTGTCTAGTGAATCAGTGCAGTTGTTAAGTTTCTAAAAATGTTGCTAAGTGAATCTGGCTTCCCCATATTCTGACACTTTGCTTGTCAGAAGGTTGAGAAAAGTGATCATAAGACCCAGGGATACCGTTATAAAAATACGATTCAGTTGCCAAGGGTCTGAATTTGGATCACCTGACCATGAGGTTGCTACAATGGTTGTAAGGGTGAAAAATGGTTATAAGTCTCTTTAAGTGCTGTTGTAATTTCAAACAGTCACTAAATGAACTACTGTAAGTCAAGAACTACCTGTACAAGCAAAAAAAATACTGTTTGGTGTTTAATGTGGAACAGCTCAGCTTTTACATATATTATTCCACCAGTATTTTTATGTCTAACAAAGAAAAAGAACATGTGTCATTGCTACCTTTTATCTATAATGTATACCAACTAAAGTTTAAATTAAGCCCCACCCCTTTAAATACAGAATGAGGGTGGGAGAGATAATAAAAAAGATGCTTACTTCTACACCAACAGGCCCATATTTATGTCCAGTTGTGTCTGGTTCCTCAATAT